CAATAACTTTGCAACAGAATTTAGATGTGATAAATTACTATGAAAAGTTTTTTTTTTCATTCATGACATGCCATGTTATTAATTTAGGATATCCTTTTCTGAAACATAGGTAATGACTTTTTACTTAAAAAAGTACTATATAGCACTTTCCAGAGTACCAGGCACCATTCTAAGTGCCGTATAAATCACTTAGACCCTACGTGGTAGGTTCTATTACCATCATCCCTATTTTACAGATAAGGAAAGATAAAGACAGGAAACTAGGATGTAGGTAACTTAAGGAATTTCTTCAGTTCAGACAGCTAGTGAATGGCAGTGCTTGAAAAGGAAGAGATGGGAGTTGAAACTAGGAAGTCTGGCTTCCATGTCTGTATTCTTAAGTACGATGCTATAAAATATTAGAGATTAAGAGAGGAGGTATCTGAGAAATGCAAAGGAAAGGGCTTGCAGAAATGACCAACTCAGCTGATTATAGATTAACCACACCCTATAGATCTTTAAATGGCCTTCTGGAAACTCTTGTCACACCTACAAGACAAACGATCTGTAAATAGATAGGACTAGTGGTCAGGAATTCCTTCGCTCTTGAAGCCCCACTTGAAACTCCCCTTCTCCATCCTGAGTCAAGAGGTGCACTAGAACCTCAGACAAAGAAATCACGCGCCCCTTGCACGGACACTGCAGAAGTACATACATAAGCTGTAAGAAATCTAGCCAAGGAGAGCTCGTGTTTTTGTGCTGTGTAAAGCCTCATGTGCTCCGCTGGCAATAAATTCTCCTTCCTCTAACAAAGCTGTCTGAGCATCCAATTTCCTCCATCGGGTGTTGCTTCCTGCAACAAGATAATGCTAAAAAAAAATAATAATAAGTAGAATGTTATATTGGTGTATTTAGGTGTATTAAAAATATATTCCCTTTTACTTTAGATTTGTTGCTATGGGAAATTAGTTTTGCATTATGCAATGCCTTTAGAGATTTATCTGTTGTAAAAAATTCTACTGCCTCCTGTTGTCAGTTTCTCTGCATATAGGATCTACTCTCTTATATTCCCACCATCAGGGCCACATCCTCTCCTGATTTTATTATTACCCACTCTTTAGTTTGACTCTAGAACCCAGCCAGGGTTCTCTGACTCTGGGACCCACATAAGAGGGTACATGCTCACTGAGATGCTCAGTTAATAGCCTATCTCCAAAAGCCCTCTTCTGGTTTAAAAGAATGTAAACTGTAAGGACATCTACATCCTCGAGTTTTTAGGATCCTCAAAATTTTCTCAATGAGAAAACCAGTGTGAAATGCTTAAAATGCTCCACTAAGGTACTAACCCAGGACTTTCTGCGTGTAAAGCAGACATGCTAACTGCTATGCTATGGAACCGCGTCCAGTAAGTGCTGTTTAATGGCAAGCATGTTTCTTCCAATTACCTTCACATCACCATATCTACCAAACTACCTGTATCCACTCCAGTCTCCAGGTCCTCCCTTGTTACCACAGATGACGTGTTCCAGCCTTACTCTAAGGACAGCCCCCTCACTTATGCCCTGGATCCATCTCCTCTCTCATTTTCAAGGACTCAGCTTTCGGTGATACCTTCTTTCTTGCAGAGTCAATTTATCCCTCTCAACTAGAGGACTAAACAGTTGTGCAAATATTCTCTAGTATGTCCCATCTTTAAAAAGTTATCCATTATTCACATATGATAAAGATGGAATTTAAAATCTATAGGGAAAAACAAAGATTATTGAACAAACTGTTGTAACATTTGGGTAGCCTTGAGAAAAAAATAAAGTCAGATCCATATTTCAGGCTTTACAATAAATGGATAGCATATTTAAACATGAAAAATAAAACCATAAAGTATCCCCAAAATGGAAGAATTTAAATAAATTATCATAATGGAGAAGCCCTTTCTAACACAAAACCATAAAAGAAAAAAAGAGTGAGAAATTAACACAGAAATAAAACATTTTGGGCAAAGCAAAAAGCACCCTGCTATTACTCAAATGGCCTTATTCTGCTCAGAACACTGGTATTCTCTGAGGTTGGCAGGAAAGATACTCTCTGGCCCAACTCCAAACCCTACTGCTTCTCAAAAACACTTGCCCAACTGCTTATGAATGAAATTCTTCCTATGGCAATTCATGCTTCTCCTTTCAATCCAATACAAAATCCCTCTGGGAGGTGTCATTTATAAAGCTGGTTTTCCTTTGTTATACTAAGAGGCAGGAGAAGACTGTGCTATAGGCTCAATGAAGAGATACTGGCAATACAATCAGGTAAGAGAAGTCCAGAAAGGGTTGGCCAGTTACAAAGCTCCCAAAGTCTACAGCTTACAATCATGAAACCCTGTGACTTTTACTAAAATCTCTTCAATGCATTCTCTACTCTCCATTCTCTGCCAAAAAAAAACTGAACTGAATCAGATCAGTTCAGGCCACCACCATCTTATGCCAGCCTCTGGTCTCGCCCCTGTGACACCCCGAATGTCTCCCTGCAGAGTGATCCCTTTAAAAGTGAATCTGGGCAAGTCACCTCACCCATCCCTGAAGGGTTTAAATGCTTTCAAAAGTCCCTCATTGACTTTCAGATAAATTTAAAACTTCTTGGCAAACAAATAGAATCCTTTAAGGTCGGGCTCACCTCTTCCTCTCATCTCTCCCCAATCAAACCCTAAAGTAACCTGAACATCTGCAGTTCCCATAACAATAGTCATTTCTCTCTTATTTCCGTGGCCACATAACTCCTGGTTATTCATGATGCAGCTGCCATGTCATCTACTCAGGGAAGGCTTTTCCACACTAAGTGCTATTAATAAAGTCCTCATTGCTCACCCTACTTTAGCAGTTTCACACTATGTTCTAAATGACCATTCCCCTGATAGTTCTCTAGTCTTCTATTCTTATTCTCGCCCCAAGACTTGAGGTTAGGAATTCTTCTAGTACGTTTCAGTTCAGCACCTAGCACAATGGCAGGCATGTAATAAGTGTTCAATAAATATTTGTTGAATGGATGAAGGAATAAATAAATTGATTGTTAAGGATTAAACCTATTTGTAGTTCCCCATTGTTTTAATAATTAAGATTTTTGCATAATAAAATAATACAATTAAAAATTTTATATTTACAAACAACAAATTGAAGGAAATAGTTGTATATATCAAATATGATTTAAAGAGTTCATTTAAATTCTATAGGAACATTGCTGAGGCTCTAAAAGATAAACCATTCCCATCAAAAGGAAATAATCCTGAAAGGCTTGAATCCTTTTAGTCTAATCTAATGCTAGCTGACACAGAATCTAATGCAGTATCATATCTATCTTTTAACCATAGGTTCGATCTCTTCCTGAAATCAAAGATAATATGCCTGAAGTGTATAGGGGAAGGAGAAAGAAAGGATTAGGGATAAGAAAAGCACAGGCCAGATCTCAGAGGGCTCTTAAGTCATCCTCAGGAATTTGGAACAGGAATCACAGGGAGGGAGAAAAAATGAAACTCGAAAAACAACATCATCATTTGGCAGCTATTTTAGAAGAAATGATTCTGTCAAGAATATGGAGGATATATTAGAGTATGGAAAAAATAAAGGCAAGCAGACCACTTAGAATACTCTAGCAGTAATCCAGATTTTAAGTACTTACGTGTGCCAAGACAAGAAAAGGATAAATTGTCTTTGAGTTTTCTAGTTTAAGAACTTAGGAGTACAGAGAAGCTACTGGCCAAGGCAGGAGAGGTAGGATTGCCTAGTGATGACTTGGTTACTGGAGTTTGCCTTTGCTTCCAGATGTCACTTTTGAGCTGTGGGACTTTGGGAGAAGTTCCTTAATTTCTCTATGCCTCAACTTCATAATTTATAGAGTGGAAATAATAGTAATATCTCTCTCTACAGTTGTCCCAAGGATTAGTTAAGGAAATGCGTGTATAAGCACTGAAATAGTGCCTGGAACTTTGTAAGTTTTCTAAAGCATTGGATGTTATTATTATTATTACTATATAAAAGAAAAGAAGAAACTGGAGAAGGAGATGAATTCTGTTTAAGAACATTTTCGGTTTCAAATATTTGTCTTGGAGACCTCCAAGAAAAATGTCCCAGGAGCTGTTTGATACCTGGGCTAGCTCAGGAGAGAGATGTGGAGAAGAGATATCGATTTGGGAGTTCTCAGCCTGCAGTTGAAGACATGAGGGATGGGAATAACTGAGTAAATACCACAGAATCTATTGTTTGGCAATGGGAGTGGAGTCCTGCAGAGGACCTGGGACTGAAGTCTCTAGAATTGAGGTAAAAAAGTCAAGTGCATAGAGTGTTGTCCAGAGTCCATTCACTTGGAGCTTGAATCTGCCTAGAGTGATGGTGCCGTGAAATAGAAAACCTAAAGCTAAGTGCTAAACCACCAATGACTTAAACAATGAAAAGGGAGAAAATACCTAAGGGTTTTTCTCCACCTGATGAAGAACAAGAAGTGACAGTGGGGAACCAGATTCCATTCTTGAACCAGACCCTTCAATTAGCACATTCTTTACACAGTTTCCAGTACAATTGATTGAGTAATATTCTCATCCTGAGAATTTTCTGATTACCTTCTTAATTGTCTATTTACATCTTTTTAATTGCCTATTTACAAACCACTTTCGGGGATACAGGGATAATCAAGCTTAATGAATATTGACAAATATATATCTTGCATATATCTAATAATATGTGATCCTATCCTAGAACTACCAACTTGTTTTTAATTGACTGATATTTAAAATTCCTAAATTTATTCCCAGATACAAAAAAAGGAGAATTTTGAGACAGTCCCTAAGAATACAATTCGTTTTCAGACTTTCTAAAATACATTCCACACTCCCTTTCTCCTCCGCCCTTCTCCGCTCTTCAAATCTCGTTTCTTCAGCTGAAAATATCGCGAGAGATCGAGTTCT